TAAGGATTATAAAAAGTGTGGTGACGATGAAGGAGGTCAGCATGAAGCACGAATTTATTATCCTTTGTCGACCTTCGCAACATGGCGGGTGTCCATGACGCATCTAAACGTGACCGTGTGCACAATGATGCAGCGCTACAATCGCTTTGTTGCACCATCTTTTGCACACTGCGCGCGGCGCGGCAATTCACTTCACCGTCATTTGAAATTGTGAGGCTTATAGATCTTAGAATTCGGCTGAGAGTTTACATGTCGTGTTTTTGAAATTACGAGTGTATTTTTTTATTTTATTGTGTGTGTGTTTTATTTAAAAGAAAATTAAAGAGTAATTTGTTATGTTTAGTTGTAGATAAATAAATAGAAAGTGTTTTTGTAAGTACCTAGAAATAAAAAAGACATACCGCTGCACAGTGGTTCGCAACTATACAAGACGTTGGACGTATCTTGAAAATTAATATTCCGTATTTAAATAAAAATAATAGACCATTGTTTGATATTGTCTTAGTGCAATAACAAATGTTAGAAGGAATTGTAATAATTACAATCATAGCTTCAGTTTGATTGAATAATATAATAATGGTGTATTGATTATCTTGTCTAGTTAAAAAAAAATATTTCAAAGGTAATTCATGGAAGTATTGCCACATTATTTAATTAAGCAGTAACGGCATTACTGCGTTCCGGTTTTAAAGGGTAAGGGTGTTGATGAAATTACAGGCACATGGGACTTGTCTCAGGGTGACGAGCGCAGTGACAATGCCACTTAGATCCTTGCGATTAAAAGCTCTGGGTGGCATTGTAACTCTCATGGACAGGCGTGTCGCTAACCAGCAGGCTATAATTTGGTCGTCCCCTCACTTGGAATCGTAAAATAATATTTTCGTTGATTTTTTTACGAAAGATAGACACGAAAAGACCAGCCAAAATTTTGTCGACATTTTGTAAAAAGTATGATTAAAAAATTTGTTTTTAAAACTATTTTTTATGAATATCGTTACGTGCAATAGTATAAAATAATTTGTTAAAAATTCTATATATAAAAAAATGAAAATGAAATTTGGAGTCATAATGACTCTTCTCGATCTAGACGTATTTTTTTCGTCCTTCCTTCGTACTGCATTCTTGCTGGGTGAAACAATATTGACATATTAAGACCCGCAATAGAAATAAAAGTTCTGATATAAATAACAGTTTGAAAAAGTTTTCAACTTTACACACTTTGCATACATAAAATGACATTTAGTGTTTTCACATTAGAAGAATATGACTTATTTATTTTAGAAAAATAGCCTTTAGGCTTTATTAAACGAAAGGTGTGAAAAATTTTCACAATTTACTGGCAAATGGGAAGTTAAAACATAATTAAAACAATCCTCGTTTACAGCTCCATGTACATTAAGATATACCAAAAAAAAATTTTTAATAATACCCAAGTGGTTTACAACACGCCTAATCTATAACAGTATCACAGCCACTCAAAGCTTTTAAAGGCAAAGGTCTTAGGGGCACTACCACTGCGCCCGTCACCCTGGGACATAAACATGATAGATAGACACGTGCCTGTATTTTCACTAGCATAATACGAGCATTACCGCTTAGCGGCAGAAATAAGTAAGGTACTGCCACCTTACTTCCCTGGACGAACTCTTTCACAAGAAAAGCTCTACTGCTACTAAATAGACGTTTAAAATAATGATTATTAAACGATACCTCCAACCAAAGCTACGTCAACTGTGCTGTTTTTATTTTGCTTTTTGTTTTTTTTTTTTTCAATTTTGTTTTTTGTTTCTTAATTTTTTTTCCACATAATTCGTAGGGCATAATATTAGTATGTAAACGTGGCGGTTTACAAAAATGATCATAAAATAAAGTTAGTGTTAATTAGAGGTATAGATTTTTTTGAGGGTAGGCACAACATTTTGTATGCGATCGAACTACTGTGCAATGATAAAGAATGAGACTTTACTAAAAAAAAGTTTAAATAAATGTTTTTCACGCGCTAATTACTAAACTGATATCGCTTTGAACGGAAGTTAGATCATTGCAAGAATTGATAATATATCCATTCGTATGCACGCACTAATTTATATAACTATTCAAAGTTCCTCATTAGTTTGTATTCTCGCCGTTTAAACGAACGTATCTTGGGGCTTAGAGAAGTTAAAACAAAACCCGGTGCAAAACAGTGTACACCAAAAGTCACCATCCGTAACCTAAAAACTCGTCGAGACCAATTTAATGAACCCAAACACGATACCTTTACTGTAAGTTTTTGAGGAGTTGGATAGTCTGCAGACTGTCCTGGTTGGAGCATCAGGTCAAGGTTACCATATTAATAATAATGGTAATAACGATGACCTCTCATCGAGGGCATCATCCAATATCGTAGCTTATGAGATTGTATGTCCCTATGTGCCTATTAAGTGTCAAAACCAAGCACAACCGCGAGATATGCAATCTCAGAAACTACTTTTTGACGATGACGGATGGCGTAATTCGTGAGAAGGTTGTCACACGTGATAAAGGGCTAACTTCCTTATCGTTGGCCAAAGAGGAATGGCCGTACGGAAAGATAAGGAGCTCCATGGAAGGTTCTTCAAAGTACTCCAGTCTGTAAAGCCCTGCATTGGCTGCGTTTTGGGGACCTTTTTGGGGAAACCGAAGGTTAGATAGGTGAATACAGGATCAGGTTATCAAGACGTGGAACTATCGGAGATATATCCTACGGTACCGCAGACGTATGTCGGGCTTGTGGCCGTCCCGGAGAGTCACTTAGGCATATTGTTTCCGGTTGTTCCGCTCTTGTTAATACTGAGCACAGACACAATCAGGCAGCCAAAATTTTACATCAAGAGCTTGCTCTAAAGTACGGACTCGTGCAACAGAGGATGCCGTATTACAAATGTTTACCAGCCAATATTCTAAAACGACTGACGACTATAATTTTTTGGGACCATCCATTATCACAGACAGAACTATTCTTGCGAATAAGCCTGGTATTTTTTGTAGTCGTTACCAACCCGCATGACGAGGGTCTCGTGAAAGCCGAAACCGAGAAACGTCGGAAGTAGGAGTAGATGGAGGTGGTTCTCAATTGGATTGTATTTTTATTTTGTATGTATGTTACGCGATTTGTTAATGGATTTTGATGATTCTTTTTTTTTTTGTTGGAAAGAGGGTACCACAGTATATGTCCAATTTAAATTTGAAAAAAATATTCCATCTCCAAGGGTGCCAAACTAGGGGATGAATCCGGTTTCGCGCACTTTCCGGGATCCGATTTCAATAAAACTTGGCAAATAGATTCAGGACCCTTTGAGGTCGGTGTTTTAGTACTTTGTATACTGATTATGATACCAAATGATAAGACGAACCAGTCGTGCGCCTGGTGGTAAGCGACACGCTTGTCCATTGCAGTTGCGCCGGTCAGAGCAGTCACCCTGAGATATAAGTTGACAAGTTCTATGTGCCTGTAAATTCACCAGCTTATTTACTGCCTGGCGGCAGAAATAGGTAAGGTGGCAGTATTTTCCTGGACGAACTTGTTCACAAGCTGCTCTACTGGTACTAAAGGATAAAGGCTTCGAACTATTTACTCCCTTCCACGCCAAGCAAATATTGGTATCTAAAATCGTGTACAACCAACGTTTCGGCCTTTTCACTGGTCTCATAGACACGGCTAACTCTATGAAGTTATATACAAAACTAAAAAAAATATTTGTTTAACAAAATTATGTAGTTGTATTTTTATGACTATAAACCTCCAAAGTTATTGTGTGTTAATTTTAACCGGTTGACTAATTGGACGTAAACCATTTGAAAGTTACAAGCATAAAAATTCTTTTAATTTAAAATAATAATCGTTTAAAATCGATTATTAACGCTTATGCGTTTATTTTTTTTATGATTTTTTGTACAACAGTTATTTAAGTTTGCTGAAAAATATTGATATTATAGTTTATGTTTAACTTAAGGTTTAATTTCGATTAATAATTTATGAGATGACGAGATGAAATAAGTAAAACTTTTTTCCTAATTTATATCTTGAGTACAGTTAAATTTTAAATTTTTATTGAATTGATATTCAATTATTTTTTTGTGAAATTACTCCACTAGTTTGTTGTAATTATTAATACAAAGATCGAACACTCAGAAAAAATTCCTTCGATCCGGCCCGATTCGAACCGACGTCTTCTAGCTTACCGTGCCAGACGCTGTATCAACTAAGCCACGGAACGAACCAGCGGACCTCACGAATTTTTCTATGTGCTTGCGCCGTGTCTTTGTATTTGGTTTTTCAACGAAGATTTTTTTCTGAGTGTGTGGTCTTGGCACTTATTACGCGGACATATAGCTTGCTTATTCTGGCTTGAAGTAATTCCGTGTCGATAAATGTGCTGACTTTCTAGAGGAGAACATTTGCTTTTGAAAACCGGTTAAGATCGTGTAATTTATGACAAAAATGTCATATTTGATGTCATACATCCAGAAATATACATATAGGTATAGAAATAGAAATATATAGATATAGAAATGTTTTCTAGGTCGTGTATAATAAAACCAGTTACTTTTGTTTAAAAATTGTTCTCTCTTCTTATTTAAATAAATTATAATCTTTTTTTTTATAATGTCAAGTGACCGGACGAACAAGTCCTGCACCTGATGGTAAGCTAGACGCCTGTCTATAACAGTTGCAGTGCCACTGAGAGCTTTAAATTACAACGACAGTAATGTTGACATTACTGCTTGGCGGCAAAAATAGGCAGTACTTCCCTGGACGAACTCTCTCATAAGGAGCTCTACTGCTGCTACTAATCGGTTTTCTTGACATGAAAAATTCATCAATTTCAAACATTAAAGAAAGAAATAAAAAAATAATAAACAAACTCAGTCTAAAATTTAAAAAAAAAGCATGTCAAAAGTGTCCATGACTCAGCATCTGAGGACCATGCTAATTACGTAGCTCACGCTGTTGTTCTGTCATAAAAAAACATGACGAAATGGTTCATGACTCAGCATCTGAGGACTTTGTCAAAATGGTCCTTGACTCAGCATCTGAGCACTATGCTAATAACATAGCCCTCACTGTTATTCTGCAACAAAAAAGCATGTCAAAAAGGTCCATGACTCAGCATCTTAGGACTATGCTAATTATATAGTCCTCGCATAAAAAAAGCATGTCAAAAAGGGCCATGACTCAGCATCTGAGGATTATGCTAATTACTCATCCCTCGTTGTTATTCTGCCATTGCCACATTACAAAAAATCAAAATTCTTATAATTGTAAACAATTTGGCACTAAATAAACAAAATCTAAGAACTAGGCTCTTGCCGTTGGAGTAATCACCGACCATCTTAGTTCAGCACTTTAAGTTCCTGACACTGACATTAACCCTTATGTGATCTAAATAACTTGGACTCGATCTTCCTTGTGACGTATTAAATGTACAACCTTCGTTCCCCTTCGCTTTTCTATTGTCTTTAATAAGCTTTTTATCCGGCACATTGAAAATTGCTAACCATCTTTTTCTTTTGTCAACAGAGAGCCCAGCGCAGACCTGGTGGCTGTCCGTGTTCCAATAAATGGCATGACATGCCAGTCCTGTGTCAGCAGCATCGAAGGCTCCGTCAAAGATCTGCCTGGAGTGCAGGACGTTAAGGTCAGTGGCTTCCATTACCATGATCCTCTGACTCATATGTGTCATACTCCATATGAATGGAGAAATGTATTTTGAGGTGAGGGCACATGAAGTAGAAGAGTGAAAACAGAGTGAGGAAAGAGGTTAATAGAACAAAGAAAGGGTTCGTCCAGAGAAGTACTGCACCCTTACCTATTTCTGCCGCCAAGCAGCATTACCGTGTTCCGGTTTTGAAGGGTAAGGGTGCTGGTGAAATTACAGGCACATGGAACTTATGTGTCAAGGTGACGGGTGCAATGGCAGTGCCCCTCAGATTTTTACCATTTAAATCTCGGAGTGCCACTGCAACTGTTATGGACAGGCATGTAGTTTACCATCAGGCGCACGACTTGTTCGTCCCGTCACTTGATATTATTAAAAAATAGCCAACGTGGAACCTAACATTGAAAGGACAGATCAATTCGAGATTCTTCTTGAAAAGGCTGGAAGTGCGTAGTGAGATACGAGATACGAGAGCTTGCATGAATGGATTGGTGAATTTAAGTGAAACTAGAAAAGAGAAAATGGTACACAGTGGAGATTTATAGTCTGCCTTCCCCTGTAGGAGTCCAAAGGTCCAATATAATGTTTAATGTAGTCTTTCTTGTCCCTCCATTATCCACTTGATGTGTTGTACTAACGGTGGTGGGTGCCTGGACACCTATCGTACAGGCTAGATCTAGTTTAGGCTCCCGTCTCCCACAAATGTAACTAACTAATCTAAGTAACTTATTTTTGGCATGCGTCCTTTAGCTTTGTGCGGAGAAATAAATAATTTTGTATTGTATTGTAAAACAAATAAAACAATAAGATCAGTAGGTACTTAGTACTAAAAAACTGACCTCAAAAGTGCGTGGAATTACACATAGTGTTATTGAAATCGGTTACCGGAAAGTGAGCAAACCCGGATTTCTCCCCTAGTTCGCCACTATACGGGACTTGACACAGGAGATAATAAAAATCGGTTCTCACTACCCAAAGTATATTGAAAGAAAAACGCCTTGAATTAAAGAATAGCAAAATCAACCATACATAACATTTAGGCGCTATTTACAAAAATGAATCTTGATGCGTGGACAGCCACACTTAGAGGTGGATGATTTTCTTCAAAATTAAATGGGACCACTATGGAGGTACCCTCTTTCCAACAAAAAAATAATCATGAAAATTGGTTCACAAATACCGGAGTTAACGCGTAACATACATACAAAAATATATACAGTCGAATTGAGAACCTCCTCCTTTTGTTGAAGTCGGTTAAAAAGTAAAAGGGTATTTATTTCTCCACAAAACATAAGGAACACAATACTTAAAAAAACGAATAGAAAAAAAACCAATTGAGTGATGTGTACAAAAAGGTAAAGGTAAAGAACCAGCATTGCTGATTTTCAGGTTTCACCTGGCTAGCTTGTATTTGTATAAAGGTCTGTAGATTGATAGAATTGCCGAAGAGTAGTGTTCAGTGTCTAATTTCTGTAGCAATTTTTATTATTTAAGTACAATATCGTGAAGTTACTTAATTGTTACGAAAATTAGATGCATGATACGAACCCGAGAACATCGAGTATATAATCAGAAATAGAGACGAAATGTTATTTGATTTGTTTGAAAACTATTCTGCCATATCGTTACGGTGACAACTGCGCCCCGATTCGCCAGCCCGAATTCCAAATAATTGACGGGTGTTGTCTTTTGTTTCGCTTGAAAACGACCAGTTTAACTTGAGCTTTGTTATAATGGACGAAAATTGAAAAATTACATAATTTAATATTTAATTACCGATGAAATGTGATTCCGTTTGTTTTGTAATTAGATGTTTTGCTGTTTTTCCCACACCACTGAATGAGGACGTCATTGTTAGAGATATTATCTTTATTACAATAAATACAGAATATTTTTGGTATATACGGGGACGTAAACACAGGTCAGTTGTTGGCGCTGTACTATTTCAGCTTTCTAATTTGTGATTTCAGCGCAAACGAGAGTCGATATTTAAAAGTGATACCAGTACCATTTGACGGATTAGTTGTCAGGGATGGAGGGTCCTTATTTCTTGTTATATACTCGATGCCCGAGAATGACTCTCGCGTGAATACATATGTGATCGAGTACAGTCAAAGGTAATTTCTTAAATGTAATTAATTTCAGGTGGAACTATCAGAGAACGCGGGCTACTTTCGATATGAACCGCGTCTCTGTTCGACGGAGGCGATCAGGTCGCATATAGAGGATATGGGGTTCGAGGTGCCTGCAGACACAACAGAAGACGAGACCAGGTATCATTGTCATATTTAAAAAAAGTCTTGATTATTATAGGACAATTGGATCGCACGTAAAATGTGTTCAGTTCAAGGTGCCTGCACGAGCTAAGGGTCCGTTCCCATTATATTATTACAACAGATAGCTGTGCTATTTAAAGTGTTGTATATTTAAATGAAGTTGTTCACATATAGTAAAACACGACCGACTGTTGTTCACGATTTTTTGCAATTAGGACGACAGACTGTCGTCAGACGATAAATAAAACGTCATGATAAAAATGTGACGACAGATAGTCTAAACGAGTCTGTCGTGTAAACGACAAGGCGGCTGTCGTGTACCGATAAATTGTCATCACGATCTAGTGAGAACAGCTAGATAGGACAGTCGTTCAACGATAAAATAAACGTCCAAGACATAATCACGACAGATAGGCGTGATATGGGAACAGACTAGACGCGATAGACCTCCAACGATAAATAGAACGTAACGATATGATGGGAACACGCCCTAAAACGAAACTTGCTCGATAAACCTTGTGTTAAGACTTCTATTGTACTCCGTCCAACCATTTATATAACTTTTGACATATACATGCCTCCGAAGTTCCGTAATGATTGACATACAACCACTTCCTCTAAGACACGATTCATGAATAAAATCGATTGTTATAAAAAATCTAATCAGAAACGCATTAGGACATCACTAATTGATTAGAATTCGAGCTGTCAAAAGTTAAATACATTTTTGGACGGAGTATAAGGTACAATTCTATTAGACGCCGCTAGATAGCGTTGAACCCTTTTTTGTTCGTTTTCTAAAACTGGTAGTTTGTTGTACCTATAAATTTTTATATTTATGCCTTGTTTTAAGATTTTCACTAATCTGATTTTATTTGTTACTAGTTTATGAGTATTTCAAGTGTTATATGATTGAGTGAAGAATATAGAATATAACTTAGAATGGTGCTTTTGTTTGCAGAAAACTCCTACCGAAAGAAATACCAACAGAAGTTTTAATAGACATGGCGACCGCTAGCGACGAGAGCGAAGTGCAATTATCCGTCAAAGGAATGACGTGTCAGTCATGCGTCAATACTATTGAAGGTATGCTTCAAGTCTATATTGACCGTCAAGCCGTCCGTCTGACCAAGGGAGTTCTTTTAAAAAGGCTTGGGGACTAAACACGGTTTTCAAATGCATGAAGGTAGTTTCTCTGGTTAGGTGGTATGGACATGTTATGCGAAGGGAAGAATGTCATGTGACGAGAAGAGTGCTAGGTATGAATGTGGAGGGATATAAGGGGAAAGGAAGGCCAAAGAAAAGATGGATGGATTGTGCGAAAGATGACGTGGACAAGAAAGGTGTGAGTATAAAAATTACGGCTGTTAATGAAAATACATGTTGTGCCGACCCTACCTAGCACGGCATAAGGATAGGAAGAAGAAGAAGAAGAAGGTTTTATCGTGGTGTTTTTCTTCACCGTTGTCGAGAGGTGTTGCAACCAAACATTCACTGTAAGTTAGAAATTAAAGCAGCAGTAGAGCTTCATGAGAAAGAGTTCGTCCAGAGAAATACTGCCACCTTGCTTATTTCTGCTGACAAGCAGAAATTTGAGCGTTACTGGGTAAGGCCCTATTTAGAGTGGCAGCGGGCGCGTGTGCGTATAAATCAAATGTACGTAGACGCTCGTAGCGTTCACGTGGTGACAAACTAGGGGTGAGATTTAAATGTAAGGACAGTCCTGAATGCGTATGTGACCCATAAAAAGAAGAGTCGGTACTGCATCTTCTGTTGGAATGTCCAAAGTATGATTCCAGTGGATTCAATCTGCAAATGGAAACAGGTTGCAAAATTAATGAAAGCTGTCTATATGAATTACTAGCAAGTAAGAAAAATAGAGATAAATTACTTCAATATAGTATGAGTATAGCGAAAGATGTAATTCAAAGAAATAAAACTAGGTAAGAAATTAGTATGTAACATTATGTTTGTAGACATAACATCTATACATATACCATAAAAATAGAAATAATTAAGATAAGTAGTGGAAAAAAATAGCCTAAGAAAAGTATGTAAATTACATATTATATAATTTATACAAAGTATGTGTAAATCATGCACTCTGTAATTTGATAAATAAAAAAAATTGTAATTAGACAACAATGGTGAAGGGTAACATATAAATTAATGAAAATAATGCAGAAAGTAATGAAAGTTTGACGGAGGACATTATGAAGTGGATATCATCAAACACAAAATGTCTCTGAAGGATACCCGACCACATTCCATAAAGGTACAATTGAAATTAAAAAAAATATATGTACATAAATATACATACCATATCCGCTAATCAACTGCTTCGACCATCATGTCGGAGGGAAGTGGCGAATATATAATAAAAAAAATAAATAAAAAAAACTAGGCGATGAATCCAGTTTCGCGCACTTCCCGGTAACCGATTTAAAAAAAATCGAATAGTCCTGCGCGATTTAAGCGCACGCAAGGCTGCTCTCGCGTCTGCGTCAATGTAGTTTTCACATAAATTTTATTTGTATATATATTTTTATTTTATATTATAAACATTTTTAATTAGATTATCTTGTTTTTAATAGTTACTTTTTTTAATAATGATATTCTGTTAATTATAGCTATTTATATTATTTCATTTATGGTTTATTTTGAGTTATTTTTTTTTTAATTTCACTGGATCAACTACTAACTACTAACTTTTTTCTGTCGTGTCCACATTTGCATTCCGTAGCGACATTTAATTAAGGCATAATTTAGTATAAGTATCTGTATCACTATTTCAACTTTATTATATTTGATTCATGTCTTGTTGGTTGTCCTGAAAATAAATAAATAAAAAACTTGCCAAATAGATGTTATTCCACGTGCTTTTGAGGTCGGTTTTTTGAGAACTATGTACTGAGATTATCATATTTTAATTTTCATACTTTAATATTAATTATCTAATAAATGGTTTTGTTATTATTATTATAAATTTGTACCTAGGAGCCCTAAAAGAAACGCCCGGCGTGATTCGAGCATCGGTAAGCCTGACCGATGAGGAGGCGCGCATAAGGCATTGGCGCACGGTCGTCACGCCCCAACAATTGGCGGATGCCGTCTACGAATTGGGTTTTGACGTTAGTGTAGTAGCTACAGATGGGGAGACGGCACCTGGTAATTTTTTTTTTGCACACAATCCCGCGGTGCCACTGACACACATAGACAACCACAAAGTACACCCAAACTCGCGAGAGAAATAAATGTAGACCATACAAATATTTCTCCCGGCACGGGTATCGAACCTGGAACCTCTTGCATGGCAGTCCAGCATGGTAACCGTTCGGCCACGGAGGCAGTTAAATAATGGCGGTAAATATGTTGTACTTTCTTCACTAGTTTGTTATAATTATTAATACAAAGATCGAACACAGAAAAATTGATCCGATCCGGCTGGATTCGAAACAGTGTCTTCAGCATACCAAGCCGACGCTCACCCAACTAGGCCAGGGTTCGACTATTTCTAATAAAAATATAATACTGGCCATTATCGTGACGCATTATTTGTTATTTCTTTTTTCAAAATTATTGACAGTGAGAGGTTCTCAATGTATGTTTTTTTGTATGTGTGTTACGCGATAACTCCGGTATTTGTGAACCGATTTTGATGATTCTTTTTTTGTTGGAAAGAGGGTACCCCCATAGTAGTCCCATTTAATGTTGAAGAAAATCATCCACCTCTAAGAGTGGCTGTCCACTAATCAAGATTCATTTTTGTAAATAGCGCCTAAATTTTATTATAAGGAGCAATTATTTTAATGGTTGATTTTGCTATTCTCCAATTCAAGGCGTTTTTCTCTCTCAATATACTTTGAGTAGTGAGAATCTATTTTTATTATCTCCTGTGTCAAGTTCCGTATAGTGGCGAACTAGGGGATGAATCCGGGTTTGAGCACTTTCCGGTAACCGATTTCAATAAAACTTGGGAAATGGATGTAATTCCACGTACTTTTGAGGTCGGTTTTTTTAGTACTCTGTACTGAGATTATGTTTATTCCGTTTCGCTTTTCACGGACGAAATGGCTGAAGAAAAAAGCAAAATGTTTAAAAATGATCAATATTTTTTTTTAACGGAATTGAGTACATATAAATAGGAATTATATTTCCTATGTAATTTCATATTGAAAAAAAAAGTAACGCATCCATCCCCTCGGATTTCGAAATCACCTATGAATCGTATCCGGAATTTTAATTACAGTATTTGAACGAGAGTATACTGTGACCAATTTTTTAATTATTTATTTATTTCCGACAGACTCGTCGCGGAGTAGGAGCGAGGAGGGGTCCGGCGACGGGATCAAACCTGCAACACCTGTGAAGAGTAAAACTCAAGCCAATGTGAGTTTTGAGTCGTAACTACTTTGCAATCACTATACATCTCTGCTCTCCTGGTACTCGAAATTACTTGAAAATTTATTTTACGACACCATTTACAGAAAAACTAAGTATACATGAACTTATGTATCTGTATTATGTAATTCAAAGGTCTAAGTTACCACGTAATGAATGATGTGTTTCTTATTATAAGTATGTATTGCATCAAAAATACTTCAGATATTCCGAGGAAAATGTTTTCCTCAAACATGCTCCGACATTTTTGCATTGCTGTCAAAAAACCCACAATGTTTATCATTTATAGAGCTTGCAACTCTTTTCCGGTCTAGGCCGGCAAAATAAGAATGAAAATGCATTTCTGGCCGCTGCTCTAAACTTTAAAATACATCAATAACCAACTGCTCACTGGCAACAACGTCCGTAATTGTTTAAAATAAAATAAAAATATATATTGTCTATGTCGTATTACTTATTTTGCGTTTGATTATGGTGCATAAATACAAGTTCATACTTTACTCATATACTTCTCGCGTTGTTTTAGAAAAGCACTATATAAACCTCGACGGGGATTACCTGACTCATATAATACGACTCGTACTCATACTATTACGATACGTATTCTGTGGTTACATATTTTTTGCACTCGAAACTTAATTTACCTTATCTACTACTGGAACGACCGTGATGATCCCTGTAACCTTATGATCGCCTGGTACTTAATATTTTTTTTGGAAGATTTACATATGTTAGTGACTAATTTATTGCTTAAGTTAGTCACTCAGTGAGTCACTTTATGAGTCACTTTAAGGGTGAAGGACGAAGCCATGATGAAATCTGAATTCCTGCTCTTTAAAGATATGTGAAGCTTCAACCCGCATTGGGTGAGTCTGGTGGATTGTGTGTGAAGGGAGTTAACGAAATAAATGACTATTTTTGTCATATCAAGTGACGGGACGACGCCTGCCTATTGCAGTTGCAGTGCCACTCAGGGCTTTAAATCGCAAAAGTCTGAGGGACACTGCCACTGCGCCTGTTACCCTAAGACATAAGTTGACATATCCCATGTGCCTGTAACATCACCAGCACCCTTCAAAACCGGAACGCGAATAAATTATGGATGTCCAAAAGTAAACTGTAAAAAAAACAAATACACATATCTTACCAATTTAAGTGCCTCCGTGGTCGAACGGTTACCATGCCGGACTGCCACGCAGAGGTCCCAGGTTCGATTCCCGGGCCGGGAGAAATATTTGTATGGCCTACATTTATTTCTCTCGTGAGTTTGGGTGTAACTTGTGATTGTCTATGTGTGTGTCCATGGCATCCGCAACACAGGGTTTCCCTAGTGCGGGGCTATGTTGAGGGTGTACGTTATTATTATTAATTATTAAATTAAATTAGATTTTTTTTTAATCCGGAGAATTATTATGTAAATTCACTTTCAAGAAATAAAAAAATTGTTTCTTTTTGTAGCATGTAAATTTAGTTAAAGTCTACACTGGTTTTGATAAATGTACTCGTACTATCTCAAAAACCTTCAAATATTCCTTGTTCTTTCGCGTCATTGTCCACATTACGCAGTGGCACAGTCTAAAACTTGAACAGATTTTTTTTTCCGCAGGGAACATTGTCGGTACAGATGGAAGAGTTATCACGTTGCACGTTAGAAGTCCGAGGAATGACTTGCGCGTCATGTGTGGCAGCCATTGAGAAACACTGTTCCAAATTATATGGTAATTAATTATTTGCACTTTTTATGTATATACCTGGTACTTATCTCTCCCTGTGGTGTCAATTTCCATATATCTACATATATTATACATTTTTTCAGGTGTCCATTCCATAGTGATTGCGCTTCTAGCAGCAAAAGCCGAAGTACGGTACGAGGCTCGGAAGATATCGGCTGCAGACATAGCAGCGTCGATCACTGAACTTGGTTTCCCTGCAGAAGTACTAAGCGACTGTGACGGCGCTGGCCATAGGGAGATACAATTATTGGTATGTTACGACCAATAAACAAGTAAAAAACTACAATACTTTCATGTTGTACGCTGTGCTAATTGTGTGTTGTACCTTGCGCTCCGAAATTTAATAATGTTCTAATACTTTTGCATGGTTCGCTTTTAATACACACTGAAAAGATAAGGGCCCAGTATAGTGCTCTGCAGCACACCTTAAGAGAATCTTGAAAATAAAATGTTCCTAAGTTTTATTAAATGCTATCACGCCTATCTCTAAATAGGAAAAACAGAACACCAAATTGTCGCGTACTATATGTTATTTGCACACATGTATATACCATCAATCACGTCGTACACTTTATCAAAAGCTTCATTAAAGTTTTTTATTTCAGATAAAAGGCATGACGTGCGCGTCATGTGTGAACAAAATCGAAAAAAGTGTACTTAAACTAACAGGAGTTGTGTTTTGTTCAGTAGCACTTACAACTTCCAAGTAAGTATAAACTGCCTATGCGCGTGTGTAAGGCTAATTATACACCAAAGTGGAGAAATGGTATGTATGTACTATAGTAGTACTTACTTAACTATTTTGACATAGCTACTGGAGTTTTTTTTTCTCTTATACCATTTTGACATCTAGGTAGATTTTAAAATTGTACAGTCATTTCCTAGTTTCGAGACTAGGTAATTTGTGTGGTTGTCTGGCACATCATTATTACTTATCTCTAAAATTGTAATTTCGATAAACACGTCTCTCCCAAGTTGCTAAGGCGGTTAAGTATTCTGGAGGATATGTAGACCGTGAGTTCGATTCCCTTTAACATTTTTTAAATAACGTCAATAATCTGTCAAACTTTTGACAGTGTTGCTGTTTAAACAGGAACCTAATTATTCAAAAAAAAATTTGACAGCTAAAGCAGTTTCATTGGTAACCATCGAGTATATAACCAGAAATAGAAACGAAATAACGACCATCCATCCCTGACAATTCATCAGTCAAATGGGCCTTATATCACTTTTAAATATCAACTCTCGTTTGCGCTGAAATCACAACTTAGAAAGCTGAAATAGTACAGCGCCAACAAATGACCTGTGTGTACGTCTCCGTATATTCCAAAAATATTCTGTATTTATTGTAATAAAGTAATATCTCTAACTATGGGCGGCTGCTCCATTCGGTGGTGTGGGAAAAAAAACAAAACATCTAATTACAATACAAACGGAATCACATTTCATCGGTAATTAAATATTAAATTACGTAATTTTTAAATTTTCGTCCATTATAGCAAAGCTCAAACAAAACTCGTCTATTTGAAGTGAAACAATTGACGACACCCGTCAATTGTTTGGAATTCGGGCTGGCCCACCGAAGCGCAGTTTGTCACTGTAATGATTTGGAGGAATAGTTTTCAAACAAATGAAATGACATTTCGTCTCTATTTCTGGTTATGTACTCGATGTTGGTAACACGGCCCGAACATAGACTATTTTACCATACCCAGATCGTCAGATGAACAATTTTTGTTTCAGAGCAAAAATAAAATACAACACAGAACAAATTGGTCCACGTACTATATGTGATGCAATCAATAACTTAGGTTTTGAGGCCACAGTAATGGGTCCACATAACAGAGGGACAACTAACTATTTAGAACATAAGTAAGTATCATGTAACTATAGCGTACGTTGAAACTTAAACTGTCACTATAAGAAAAAATAATTTTCTAAAAATGGTGCATAAAATTAGTGAATATTTTTATTTTTATTGAATATTGTAGCCGCCAGAACCAAGTAGAGGTTGTAGAGGATCTCGATGAGCTCGTTAAATAAAGACGATTTATAGTTGACTGTAATACACTCCCGGACACATAATTCGAGCCACCTTGCATTTTTATCCTTAAAGGGCTAGAATATAAAAATATAGTATATAATATAATGTATGCAATGAATTTACTTTTTTCACGTTTTATCTCTATATATTGTAGACTTGATTATAAGGAAGGAAAGAATAGAAATACAAAAAATAGATGGACGTAGTTAAATAAAAACGATCCAAGCCACATCCACTCACTTTCGAGATATGGCAGTTTAAAGTTTAAAATTGTTTCTCAGTCTGATTTTATTTTCAAACCTTATAATGTTATCTAACTCCAGAGATATTTATTTATGTTTACATGTTGGATTTTTTTGCTGATCTAGGATGTTAGATTTTGGAGGAACCGTTTGGTACATGTAACTAATTTTTTGATAATTTTGTGGATTGGATCCTTTTTGCTCAACTACGTCCAGATGTTCTGATGCCACTTGTTTGGTAGCCATCGAAATTATTGTTCTATTTTTAACCGACTACAAAAATAGGAGGAAGTCAATTCGTCTGCATTTTTTTTTGTATGTTACGCGATAACTCCGCCATTTGTGAACCGATTTCGATGATTCTTTTTTTGTTGGAAAGAGAGTACTTCATATTCCACCTGTAAGGGTTGTAAACTAGGGGATGAATGATATTGAGGTCGGTTGTTTAACCGGAGCTTAGGTTATACAACAAACCTTCGTCGCTCATTGAAGGTACCGGCGCGAACAAAGTTTGAATTTGATAAAGCGAGATTAATAGCACCTTTTTTTTGAACGCGTGATGTATTTTTTTACCTGGGCCGCGTTTCCTCTAGTTAGATTATTATTAGAACAAGTATTACTATTTTATTTTTGTTTTCCGAATCTCACTCATCCCATTATTATTTTTAACAATCTACAGAGAAGAAATAAAAAAATGGCGAACAGCGTTTCTAATATCCCTAATATTCGGCGGGCCGTGCATGATAGCCATGGCGTACTTCATGGCTATGATGTCAGACGGTCACAGCGCGAAGGATATGTGCTGTGTACTTCCCGGACTTAGTTTAGAGAATCTTGTCATGTTTCTACTTGCCACTCCTGTACAGGTGAGTTATTTATACATTTTGCGTATTCTTAGGGTATTTGCTGACTTTTGGGGTAAAGTTAGACTTGTAATTTTGGGGTGAATGTGGACCTCGTAATTTTTGAGGTGAATTTGGACCCTGTAGTCTTTGAAGTGATATTGGACCTTGTAACCTTTGGGATAATTATAGACCTTGTAAAGTCACTGTATCCACACGCAGAATTGAACTCGAGATGTTTTTGTTTTTATTACTGCACGCACTAAGGACCGGATTCCATGCACTGGACAGTTTAAAACCATCATCACGGTTAAATAATTTGCACTTCGTGATCTCGATGGCTTCACGTACCAACCGTGGTATGTAGTGACGTTCTGTCGACAGTACCTGGGGGCTATGCAACTCGATCCAGTGGTTAGTGTCAGTCTGTATAAGCAAATTGAAATTCATAGTCCCTGCCTGCCCCAATGGGAGACAGGCGTGAATAAAAATATATGTGATTCTGAACAAAGTACGAAGTTTTACCACATGTCATTCTGAATTTTAATTCTCTCAATGTGTTGTTTAGTCTATTTACTGTATATTATACTTAGTTTGTGGCCAAGGGTTTTGGGTAAACAGATGAAAGGTTCGGTTCACATCATTTATTGTAAAATAGGAATAGGAAGAAAGATGAAGTAAAGTAAAGGCGTAAAGGCTATAACAAAACAAAATAACGATATACAATATGTACAATTACAGCCATGTAAAAACACTCCCTACTTAAATTTCGTACAGGTAGACATGATAAAAATAAATTTACCCCTAAAGGGCCTGTGCTTGTATAAATATTTATTTATTTAAACTTTGTTGCACAATATACTGAAGTTCAAATCTTTCAAACTCTACCAGTAAACTATTGGGCCAAACAGAAAAAAAACCCAATAGGTTGCGACACTTAAACAAGAAGAACAATATACTAGATAGCTTATAGATAATTTGTATGGTATAAAATAAATAATATAAACATACTTATTATACATACATAATAAATTTGTAATAATAAATAATATAACACATGTACCCAAAAGCAACATTATACAGTCTTGATTTTGACAATTGTCAAACAGATGAACATGAGCTTGAACGATACTTTGATTTACAAGAAAATATATATAAATATGCTTTACAAGAAGTTAGGTGACATTATTTACAATGGTATAATTGGTCAGAATTTCATATGAAGTCGAGTACGCGTGCTCGAATCGGAAATTTAGAAATTTAGTAGAGAGTGGCGACGGTGAGAGTGACGAAGAAAAGGAATTGAAGAACGAGTCGAAATTTCAGAGTAGATGGCCAGGAACCAGAGAAAAGGGTGATAAAAAGGTAAAATGACGACGAAAGAGGTCGCATCGTCACAAACTTGATTAAGATGCCTGAATAGGTATTGTGTACCTCCAGTGGTCTATATGACGTCGATTCATTTGACCAATGAAATACAAAGTTATAACAATACAACAAATCATAGTACAGTAATACCCCGCTTTGCGCGACCCCGCATTGCACGATTTCACTATAACGCGATTTTCAAAATTCGCGCTAATTTACCCCGCCTTACGCCGATGCATTGATTTAACTAATTTGAATCCGTAGCTTCTCAGTTACTAAAAGTCAGAGGTAGTTCTTTCTTGGTAGGTCCTTTAATTTGTAATCACATTGGTACTGTCTGTTATCCAGTGAATTGTAAACGATAATTTTTACGAACAATGACGCCACCAAGAAAAAAGACCATAAGAGCTTTAGTTTAGAGACGAAGAGGAGGTTTAGAAAAGATGGGTTCGTTCGAATGGCTCGTTCGTTACAATATTTAGCTTTTATTCTATCCCTGGTAGCAATTGTTAAGTCAAGTTAGAGATCCTAGGGTGATGAAAAAACTATAGCACCAGACTGGCCACACAAAAAAAGAACAACCTTGTTTTAGCGAATTTCGCCTAACGCGATTTTGTCCGGAACGCATCCCTCGCATAAAGCGGGGTATTACTGTATTCGTTAATTATGAGGGATGTATAAAGTTTTGAAAAAAGCTTGCACTGTGAATTAACTGCTTGGTGTTTTCCTTAAATGAAATATGTCAATGTCTACGGTCTCAATAAGGTCATTGTATGATTCTATGAGTCTGTTCATGGTGGCTTTGTTGTTGAGAGAAAAATTGATTTCTCAGTGCTTCTGGTGACTATACAGTTCCAGGCACCATCCTAAGCAGAACTTCAATATCTTGTAGTTATTTCTTTTAGAAACACAAGGGTTGTGAATCTTCTCCAAAGTTACAATTTTCAGAGCAATGTTTTCCTTCTGAATTCTCCTTATGGATAACACGTAAATAATTATTACAGTTTGTCGGTGGATGGCATTTCTATAAACAAGCTTACAAGGCGCTCAAACACGGTACTTCCAATATGGACGTGCTTATCTCTATGACGACTACAATAAGGTACAATATTGTTTAATATTTCTATTAGATAAATTACGAATCACTACAAAAAATGATATACATTTCGTTAATTATGTCTCAGGCGGAGTGGCAGTGCCTCTCAGGTCTTTACGATTTAAAGCTCTGAGTGGCACTGCAACTATTATAGAGCCTAACACGCCTGTGTCGCTTACCACCAAGCGCATAACTTCTTTGTCCCGTCTCTCGATATCATAAAAAAAGCTTACCTATGAAATAAAGATACATTTCAATTTCAATTATAGCATTACACATTTTTCAACCATAGTATAAATAAGACAAGACACACCATGTACGGACGCACACATTCGCATATAACTCGCGATGCTACGTTTTTGTAGAGTTACCATATGTTCTATGGGAACGAGTTAATTTGTTGTGACAGTGAAAGATAATTCACAATTATTTCTTTCAGTTACGCGTATTCACTGGCTGTGGTTATAGCATCAATGGCGCTTCAAAAGGACACCAGCCCTATGACGTTTTTTGACACCCCACCTATGCTTCTTGTTTTCGTTTCACTTGGCAGGTGGCTGGAACATATTGCCAAGGTAAATTTTGTGCCCAATATCCAAAACCAGGTCGCAAAGAGAGAAGATTTTAAACCATCATCATTTGATTATTACACGTATTGTTCAACAGGGAAAAACCTCCGAAGCATTATCAAAACTGCTATCTCTGAAAGCAACGGAGGCAGTGTTAGTTACGTTGGGACCTGATGGCAATATTATCGCTGAGAAGAATATACCGGTTGACTTGGTTGAGAGAGATGATGTGCTCAAGGTGAGGCTTAGCAAGTTTTAACATTTGAATTTAACCCAACAGATTGCGTAACAGACGTTGTTGGCCATGTGGTTCATGGAAAAAATTCCGTTTTTTTCTATATTTTTCCACATTTTACACTGACACTTGTGAAGATGCTGAACTCTATCATGAGACTTTGAGAGAGGTAGTATCGACTCTAAAATTATATTATATTTTATTAACAGGTTGTACCGGGCGCGAAAATCCCAGTTGACGGGAAAGTGATCTCGGGACAGACAACTTGTGACGAATCGCTTATTACAGGAGAGTCTATGCCTGTGCCCAAGACTAAAGGTTTGTAATTCTAAATATTTTTTGCACTTTAGGAATTGTTATAATAGTGCTGGAATAAAAATACAAATCCCATATGTGCATAGATATAGAAAAATATAACCTACATCCTCCCCTATTCTTGTAAGTCTGTCGAAAACATTAATTGATAGAGTTACAAGAATTGGAGAGGATGTAGATTATATTTTTCTGTATTCAATGGAGCAATGAACATTTTTGACCACTACTACACTTATGCCATCCTTCCATTAGGGGTGCGATATGTCAAGTGTCTAGGGATCAACAAATTGGTGAAAATAGCGCCGAACAAGAGGGAGCTGCCCTACTTGCTCGTATCTCTTGTTGATCTGAATGATATTAATTAACAATTATAAAAAGCGCCACCTATTCGTCACCGGTATTACTATTATTAAAACACCGCCATCTAGTGGCAGGGTGTCTTATTTACTATCTAGTTACTGTTTATTATGGTATATTATCGTAACAAGATCTATACTGTGTACTTTTATTTATTTAAAAGTTGTGTGTTTGGCCGTATGCAATTGAAATCGACGAGTTATCACCTTTCGGATGGTGTTTTGAATTTTTGGAGTATACTGTTTTAAATTTTGTTGTTAGTAAGGAGAGAGATGGTGTAAAATTTATTTATTTATTTATTTATTTATTTAAAAGTGCATTACATGTGTTGTCGTCATAAAAATATACTTAAGAATATACTTATACATTTACATACATATGAACCTTTAAATTAAAATTAAATTTCTCTCCCCAGATTCTTTAGTAATAGGGGGCAGTATAAACCAGCACGGTGCCCTGTTGATGCGGGCGACGCATACCGGTGAGGCCAGCACGTTGGCACAAATTGTGCGACTGGTTGAAGAAGCGCAGAGCTCAAAAGCGCCTGTTCAACGGCTGGCTGACAAAATTGCTGGGTGAGTTAATTATGTTTTAGGGGATAACCGATCATATGTCCGAAATTGCATTTGCTCGAATTGTCATAACTCTGAAAACCGACATATAACGAAACTTATTCTTTCATTTTGTTATATTTTTTAATGCTTATCTCAAAGAAGCGATTAATGTAAATTAGGTTTCGTAATATTTCTAAAAACAAATGTTTCTGAGGAAAATTACTTTCGGGATTATGAAAATTCGAGATAACGTTATTTCGGGTAAATGTGATTTCGGACTTCTGATACTATAGATATTCTGGGATAATTGTGGTCGGTTTAAGGGTTCATGTAGATTTTTCTTTGAGGTATTATTTTAGTTTATAATATAGTCCCAGTGCCGGGCACAGGCCTCCTACGAGAAGCTATTGGCCAACGCAGAGTGGGGATTTGACACTTTTTCTAAGGTCTGCGAATATTTTTCGACGTGCCGGTTTCATCGAGTTTTCTTTTACCGTTTAGGTAGATAGGTTACTACTAAACATTTCCAAATGTATGCACCTTAGAAATTGAAGCCTTAAGGCCTTTGGGGTACGACTGCTTTTAAGTTTTATAACATATAACGTAATATTTTCAGTGTTTCAGAATGTTTTTTTTTTCAACAATAAATCTTTGGAATTTAAGTTTTCGTCATTAAATGTGGTTAAATCTAAATAATCTTATCGAGAAGATTATGTTATGTCTTATTGAGTAGCAAGAGCTCCTTGTGAAAGATTTCGTCCAGGGAAGTACCTTTTTTTGACAGGGGAAAAATCTTTATAGACTCAGGGATTTAGTGGCTGGTTTTAATGGGGTAGGTTAACCTACCCCACTACCTACCCCATTAAAACACCCCGGGTTTACCTCTCGCCGGTTCAGCCGGCGCCGTGGGATCGGCGAACAGTCACCACGATGTCCAGGAAAGTAGATAGATAGATAGGTAAAACGTTTATTTGGATCTACATACACACATAGATAACAGAAAAATATATAAAATAATAAAAAGAAAAAGAAAAACCAGCCGAGTCGCAGCACTGCCGAACACCCAGTGATGTATGTGTGTTGTGGGCCATAGCTCAGCGTCGATGTTCACTCAGGAGCAAACCCGTTGATTTTCAGCTATATAACTATAACCTAGAGGATGTCGAGGGTACAGTAACCAGCCAGCTGACGCCATTTTTGTGTTGTATAAATTAAACAAAGAATAATTTCGAAGCTAAATAAATACAGAAGTAAATATGAATATGATAAATGATAAAAATTTTTTTAGATATGATTTGACTATGTTAATAATATAAGCAAATTATAAATTGAAATTTTTAGCGATTATTATATAAAAGTCAATTTAATTATAAATAATGAAATCCTGTTGCTATTACACACTGTTATGTAGGCAATTTTCGCTACCTAAGAAAAGCGCTGTGGAATACCCTTTTTTTGAGAGTCTAGAAGTAGCGCCTTTACCTTTTCCTTGAAAATGCATTTACATTTTAGAAGTCTTACGGTGGTGGGATATTATTCCAACACTTAGTTGCGTGGTAGCGAAAACTGCCCTTGAACGCTGCTGGTCGATGTCGCTGTACGCTTAGCGGGGCGCGTAATGATCTGGGTTTATGGTCGTGTAGTTTATAAAAGGGGAAATTGTAACTTTGAAAATGCAGCCCCAGCATGGTATGCGTTGGTAGAGTGCAACAGGCAGCTACTCAGAACCCCAATGTCGTTGTCCTTGCGGTGCATCACAGACGCCCCACGATACGTGAGGAATGACGCCATTCGAAAGCTTCGACAGCTTCGTGGATCGCCTGGCCAAGACCATGTTCCGGCGCGCCGGACAATCCCTGTATAGCCACATACAGCGACTGGCACCACACCGAGCCTAACACCCTGACCAGAAACCGTTTCCAAAGACCTACTTCGGCCCGAGGAAGCCCCACCGGACCAGACACCAGCTGCAGAAGATGGTTGAGAAACCTGCCGATCCATCGGCAGGGACTTCCATCTAAAGCAGCTCACCCTATTATGACACCCGAGGGTTATACCCACCCCGAAGACCCGCTCGTATCCACGAGTGGCGACCGACTCCGCCGAAAATACGGCGAAACTTTGAAAAAAGATAATCGGGATTGTTGAATTTAACAATGTCAAACATCAAAGACGCGAGATGTAACTGTTTGCGAGATTCCATATTGAATATACCTGTCACCTTACCTATTTCTGCCGCCAAGCAGTCATCTGAGCATTACTGTATTTCGGTTTTGAAGGGTAAGGGTGCTGGTGAAATTACAGGCACATGGGACTTGTTAACTTATGTCTCAGGGTGACGGGCGGAGTGGCAGTGCCCCTCAGATCTTGGCGATTCAAAGCACTGAGTGGCATTGCAATTGTTATGGATAGACGTGTCGCTTACCACCAGGCGCACGAATTGTTCGTTCCGTCACTTGATATTATAAAAAAAATATTTATGCGATTACTGCTCATTGGAAATTTCAAAAAAAGTCTGTATTTGAGTCGCGTGCATTTGTTTTTTTTTTTCAAACCAACCTAACTTTCGATCTACTTACTCATTCACTCATACCCGTTGTCCCAAACAAAAAATACTCAATACTCAATATATTTATTGTCTTCATACCGACCCCTCCTACGTAAAGTATCGTATGTCGAAATTGCCAAGTTTACAGGGAAGCGTTTTAAAATTTTGAATTCACTGAAATGAGCATAACACGTGACTCTATTTCTCAGTTTTATTCGGCAAAACTCAAACAGAGTGTTATAAAATCTTAGATATCAGTTAGATGAACAACCACAATTTATTTTATTATTTTACAATTTAATTTAGCATTTCTATGCTAAAGTCGCGTGTTATACTCATTTCAGTGAATTCAAAACTTAACGCTTCCCTGTAAACTTGGCAATTTCGACATACGATACTTTACGTAGGAAGAGTCGATGGTACATAAGGTCTTAACATTATAATTATGTTACACATAGCCCTGTCTTAGGGATAGCAGAAAAAACAACAAGAGCAGAGGCAGGCCGAGGCTTAGATTAGTCACTTTAATTGTTCACTATCAATGTATGTATAAAAAAAAAGAGTGTCATTTAGAATTGTTGCATTTGGTTACAGGTACTTTGTTCCTCTGGTGGTGTTCCTTTCTCTCCTCACGTTGGTTGCATGGATCATCACTGGAGCAATTGATATAGATAAGATTAAGAGAATCACACCGGTAAGTAAAATCTCGAAATGTTTAACCGAAATTTGGTAAAATAAGGTTTTGCGGGACTGTCTAAAGACCCCTCCGGACTCTCGGAGAGAAGCCTCGAAAACACCCGAGACGCGTGTTTAGGATTGGTTTCGCGCTCACATGTTCTTTGACGGTTGTCGACGTGACGAGGCACAGGTTACCACCTAGAATCAAATCAAAATAATCTTTATTTCATAAGTAAGCATTATTACACTTGAAATCGTCACATTGGTTAAACTCTACCGCTCATTCGTAATGCAGATTCCCCTGAGAAGAATGAGCAAGTAACTCTAGGGATTGCTCTTTGTAAATAACATTTGTAGACATTCAACATTTGCAATGTATTTTTTTTGTTTTCAAACGTCAGAGATCGCTACTACCTCCATGAGCTAAACGGGTTATTGCCACGGATTTTTGTCATTCAATTACCCAGAAGTTATAGTTCCGTTTAGGTTCTGGGGTTTCTCTCAGAGAACAGTTTAAGGAGACCGGAGACTGTGGCATTACAGTACAATTTACAAAGATATATACGTTTTTACAATAAGATTTCGGAGCATATATTAAGATTATCATTTCGTAAGTTTAAAACTTACATTAAAAATATTTTAATTGAAGTCATATTACGGAATTGAAGAGTATGTGTTAGATAAAGATGTGTGGAAAGACAATACGAGTCTAGATTTCACACAAGTATGATTCAAAGTGTGTTCCATAGCATTTAAGTTTATTTGAAAAGAGCAATCCCTAGAGTTTCTTGCTTGTTCTTCTCAGGTAGATCTTTTGTTGAGAGGTGAAAGTATCGCCACCACCTTAGACACTTGTACAAAACCTGCTTAGTTGTAATCCATGCCATATATAACGTGTTTTTATTTTTACGTACAATAAATTTAATTTTTTTTTCGGGCGAGAAAGAGAACGCTATCACATTCTCAAGTCTGTTTCAGTGTGGTGTGTGAAATAGCGCTAATTGGACGATGTAAGAAATGTAACCATCTGGCAATTCTGCAGGAATGTGTTGCATTTCTAACATATTTTGTAGTTTTAATATCAGGCTGGATTATTGTATGCTATAATCTGTAATTTTTTAAGATGGAGTAAAATGATGTTTACAGGGCTGCCAGTTTTCGTAAAATTATAAATAGTCATGTAGTTGTTGTCGATAATTTTATCGATAGATTGTGATGGTAGGTATAATTTTGTCAAAAATGTCGAATTGCGAATGTTAGGACGTTCTAATAACTACTAATTGCGTTTTGTGTTCTTTATTTTAATTTTGACAATTGGTTTATTAGTATCGAAATAAATTTTTAGTCATACACATTTTAATAAAGGCAGGGGGATTTGTTTATGTATGTTTATATTATTCAAATGAAAAACTTAACAATATGTCTCCTATTTGTGTTTTTTGTACACGTTTTACAAAATTTTGTGTATTTATGTATGAATTTTCAAAAATTATCAATACAAATGAACTGAAAATGTGTCCAGCAGTTTAACGAATAATGGGCCAATGATGATTCAGATGAAACAAGTTCTGGTATTTATTCATAAGCGTAACCAACATTCAATCGATAGTCGATATAATTTTTATCGACTGCAATCACTAGCGGGCTACAAGCGGGCAACACTTTGCGCAGCGAATTGTCATTTTACTTCATTATCAAAAAGACAGACTATAATGCACACAGTACCAAAGCTGCTGTACTTGCTGTGCTGTTAAAGTCGTCCTTACCGGATAGGAACGAGAACACAACTATAACAATCTTGAGTGTGATCAGCGCCGTGTATAGGTCTTATAAGACTTACAGATAAAGAAACAATCTTGTTATTTTATCTAAACAACTGTTTACAGTTCTCCTTTTTCAACAGGAAATCTACCTCCACTCAGATTTTACCAAATGGGAGTTAATAGTTCAAACTGCATTCCATTTCGCACTGTCTGTGCTAGCGATTGCGTGTCCGTGCGCGTTGGGGTTGGCGACTCCCACCGCGGTCATGGTGGCCACTGGCAGGGGTGCCAGGTTGGGGTTGCTCGTCAAAGGGGCTGAGCCACTGGAGAACGCTCATAAGGTAAGAAGGCCTGGTATATTAATTTAACTGGAGGTTAATTGTAATTACGGATGTCAAGGATTTTTAGGGTTTACTTGTTTATTAGGGACATTAAGGATATGTTGGGGTAATCGTAGATACGGGGGAATGGTGTATTGGGGTAATTGTGGACATTGGGGCATTATAACAATTTTAGGGCAATCATAAACATTTAAGGAAATTAGGGATATGCAGAGGTGATCTTGGTGTTTAGGGATATTAACTTTAGGGTCATTTTCGGGTAATGGTGAACAGGAGGGACATTTTTGAGGTAGTCTTAAACATTAGGGTCACTTTGGGGGTAATTGTGGAATCGTTGTGGGTTTAAAGCGTTCATTCGGAATTTGGGAGCGGCGTCGTAGGGCACGGTTCACGTGCTGATACGGATCGTCCCGCCGCAGGTGCAGACGGTGATCTTCGACAAGACGGGCACGATCACGCAGGGGCGCGCCAGCGTCGCGCGCGTGTCGCTGCTGACGGGCGAGCCGCGCGCGCTGCCCGACGTGCTGGCCTGCCTGCTGACGGCCGAGCTGAACTCGGAGCACCCCGTGGCCTCCGGTGGGTGTCGGGCGCGGGCGCGGGCGGGGCGGGGCGGGGGCGACGCAGGCGAGTGACGGGCCGTGCTTGCAGCCATCGTGCGCTGGTGCAGCGCGGTGCTGGGCGGCGACAGCGGGCTGAAGTGCGCGAGCTTCGCGGCGGCGCCGGGCTGCGGT